GCACCCCCAACCCCCCCCCCCCCAAAAAAAAAAAGAAAAGTAAGAAAAACAATCCCATAAATGATACGGGTGTATCTTCTATTCGAAACTTAGTAATCCTTATGGGAGCTTGAGGATAGCTGATTCTCATGGTAGCTTGAGGATAGCTGATTCTCATGATAGCTTGAGGATAGAGGTGTAAAACAGCACAGTGGAACACAGATTGAAGCGTGGAACGAGATGGCGAATCGAAGAATCGAAGCATCCAGTTTTCAGCCCATGAGTCGACTCATAACAGTCATGAGTCGACTCATCAGGTTGAATTAACTCATGCCTGTCATGAGTCGACTCACGAAACCCAGCCGTTTGTCACCAGTATCTGACGAGTCGACGCATCTCAGTCATGAGTCGACTCATTGCTCATTTTGTGTTTTATCCAGTTTCGAACGAGTAGACTCATCTCAGTCGTGAGTCGACTCATCGAAGGTTTCCTGGTTCGTTTGGGTTTCTGTTTGCATGAATTCATGTTGGGTTTGGGCTTGGTTATTTACCACTTTACCATCTACGTTGTTACACCTATATAAGGGATTGTTTAGGGTTTCTAATTAATCAAATGTAATCAAAGTGAGATTCTAATCAAGAGAGATTAGGGTTTAGAGAGAATTAAGAGCTTGTTCTCGATTCTAGTGAGATTATGAGAGAGTGATTGTAATCTTTTCATACTCATAATCTAGAGAGAGTATTTTTCTTCGTCACATACTGAATTGTTCTTGTGTTTCTGTCATCCTCTTCTCAATCCACCTTTGATAATTCCGTGATCAAATGTGCTCGCACGGCGAATCGTATCAAGTTGGTATCAGAACGATCAGATCATGTGAAGGGGGCATCTTGTGTATGGTCCTGACTCGATCGCAATACAAGAAGCTAGGCGAGATCCTTATTTCATTGGAAGTAGTCCATGTTTTAAGAAAGAAGAAGATGGCTGAAGGAGACAATTCAGCGAGGATTGATGCATTAGAGAAGCGGATCGAGACGATAAGGTCTACTCTCACACAACTCGTCAGTCTTATCCATGGAGGTGATAAACAATGTGAATCTTCTTCAAAGTCTAAGAAGAAAATTGTGGAGTCCGATGTGGAGAGAGTGGATTCAGATCCCGACAAGGAGGAGGAGACCGTTAAGGTTGCGTTGCATCAAGAGGGTAAGAATTCTTACTAGAACCTGAAGATTGACTTCAAGGTGGAGATTCCTGTTTATGATGGGAGTGTCAATGTGGAGAAACTCGATGATTGGATCGAACGTATGGAGATGTATTTCACTCTCTACGGATATTCGTCCAAGGAGAAGATTGAGTTCACGACTTTAAAGATTTTAGGGTACGCGTTAATGTGGTGGAAATCCTACTGCAAGTAGGAGAAGAAGACGGTGTCGTGGAACAAGTTCAAGGAGTTACTAAGAAAGCAATTCTACCCGGTGGGATTCCTTGAAGAACGTTGGTACAAGTGGTACGGTTTGCGCCAAAGAGTCAATCAAACCGTTTAAGAATACACCACGGAGTTCCAGTAGCAGGCGATGATCCTCAACATTGCGACAAAAGAATATTCTGTGTTTATGAAGTATATGGCGGGATTGAGCGGTTACATCCTGAAGGAGATGAAGTTATTCACGGTCAAGACTATTGCAGAAGCGAGCGTGAAGGCTATTGCCATTGAGAGCAAACAGAAGAAGGACAACAAGACTAAGGGAGACTTCAAACAGACGGGAGGCGAGTCTAGTGGTTCTAAATATAAGGAAGAGAAGAAGGGTGATCCAGGGAAAGCAGAACTGATTTGTAGTCACTGTGAGAAGACAAAGCATGTTGCTGATCGGTGCTGGGAGAAGTATCTTCATCTCAAGCCAAGAGGAATGAAGAAGAATGAGGAGAAAAAAAGCATATGTGATAGCTTAAGGTCCGAAAGAAGTCCTGGGGATGACAGAGCCCAGTAACAGTCTTAACCTTATGGCGAGGAGACATGCCACGAAGGAGGACGATGACCGAGAGAACAACTCTTTGTGCTTAAGTTACAAGTGAAGACTAGTTTGGTTGATGTTATAGTTAATCCGGGCAGCGAGAAGAATTTGATATCCGAGGCCTTGGTTCAGAAGCTGTGTCTAAAGACGGTCAAGCATCCGAAGCCCTATCTATTGGGGTGGATTCAGAAGGAGGAGAGACTGAGTGTAGTTGATCAATACACTGTCAGATTTGCGCTCCACGAGTCGTATATTGACTAGGTCATGTATGACGTAGTTTCATTAGATGTTTGTCAGATTATACTGGACAATCCATACTTATGGGATAGATATATGATCTACGAGAGGCGGGCTCAGAAGTATACATTCACCAAAGGCGGTGAAAAGTTTATATTTCGTTCGGCGTCTCTTCCGAGGGATAAAAGTTTGGGGACGGTGACACGAGCGAAGAGGCTAATGAATACAAGCAAGAAGTTTGTCTCGCTGTGCATTAGACTTTCAGAAAAACAATCAAAAGAGGATTGCATGTTGGAGCGAAAGACAACTACGATAAGATAAGGAGCGAAGGAGTCGTTTCTAGTTGTACGTCACTATCAAGTTCCTAGCAAGGCCAGGTGGTGCAGAAAAGATAGAGGAGCTCGAGAGTTTCCTCAGCTGAAGTTCTAACTTGAACGGGACTTCAAGTTCCTAAAGGAAGGACCATGATACGGGTATATCTTTTCTTCAGAGCTTAGTGATCCTCATGGGAGCTTGAGGATAGCTGATTCTCATGGTAGCTTGAGAATAGAGATGTAAAACAACACAGTGGAACGTAGGTTGAAGCGTGAAACGAGACGCCGAATCGAAGAATCAAAGCATCCAGTTTTCAGCCCGTGAGTCGACTCATAACAGTCATGAGTCGACTCATTAGGTTGAGTCGACTCATGCCTATCATGAGTCGACTCACGAAACCCAACCGTTTGTCACCAGTCTCTGACAAGTCGACTCATCTCAGTCATGAGTCGACTCATTGATGGTTTTGTGTTTTATCCAGTTTCGGACGAGTCAACTCATCTCAGTCGTGAGTCGATTCATCGAAGGTTTCCTGGTTCGTTTGGGTTTCTGTTTGCATGAAATCCTATTGGGTTTAGGCTTGGTTATTTACCACTTTGTCATCCACGTTGTTACACCTATATAAGGGATTGTTTAGGGTTTCTAATCAATCAGATGTAATCAAAGTGAGATTCTAATCAAGAGAGATTAGGGTTTAGAGAGAATTGAGAGCTTGTTCTCGATTCTAGTGAGATTGTGAGAGAGGGATTGTAATCTTTTCATACTCATAATCTAGAGAGGGTATTTTCCTTCGTCACATACTGAATTGTTCTTGTGTTTCTGTCATCCTCTTCTCAACCCATCTTTGATAATTCCGCGATCAAAGGTGCTCGCACGGTGACTCGTATCAATAAAACACACCACGCAATAAAAAAAACCACTTAGACCAAAAAATACCTCAGATTACTCCAAATGTCATATTATGTGTAGGGTTAAAGCTAGACAACTTCATATTATCCAAGTGTGGACAGTGTTGGTCTAAATAGAAACTGGGGCCTCCCAATCGAAAATCTCGCATCATCGGACATGACGTAATACACATGGACTGCCTAGAAACAAAAAAGCCAACAACTTCGACACACTTGTAATGATGTATGAAGGGAGATTAAACAGCTTCAGAAAAATTCCGAAACATTGATTTCAACAATAGAAGATACATGGACAAAACATGTTCAAATCCTTCAAATTTTCATTTCTAGATAGTTAATTCAATAGTGTATGGCATCAAATGATATAATTTTCAAGAATAAACACATCCGCATTTTGATGCTATCAATTGTAAGCCTATCTCAGCTCTTATTTCTAGATGTTTGAAATCATGTATTGCTGATCATAATAAAAAAGGTACGAGATCTTGCAAAGTACATATTAAGATGAAACGAGCCAGCAAGAATAAAAAAGAAACAAAAATTTCTCGCGTTGCCAAACTGGAAATGATTTTTATCCCGATCTCAAGATTTGGTCCCCCAAAAAAAAACATATTATACATGTCTAGGATCAAACAAGAGGATTGATAAAATGTCAAAACCCTAGCTAGAAAATCACAGAGAAATAGCATAGTACGAAAACTTCGTCTGGAAATGATCTCATCTACAATCCAAACCTCCCAACAAAAAATCCCAATTTGGCTGCAGAATTCTCCAACGATGATAGGGATCGAGGATGGTTCCCAGATTTAGATACAATAATGCGATGTACAAAACATCGGAAACTTTAGAAACAAGATGGAATCAAGAAAACACCGCTATTACAGTAGCTTACAGATCAGATCGCGATCCTTCGCCAAAAATTTCAACATCTTACAAAAGTAAAGTATCAAAATCGAAAAAGTTTGTAGCGTAATGATTTTACCTTGAATACAGAGCTCCTTCTCTCTTTAGATCCCGCTCGCCATTGAAAGAGCTTCAGCTGGAGAGAGAGAGCTCAGAAATAGAAATCGAAGAATGAATGAGAGAAGAGAGAGAGAGCGAGAGAGAGAGAGAGAGGTTGTTGATTGAGTTCGAAACAGAACTAAATGGGGTTTGGGTTTGGGATAAGAACTGAGATTGGGCCGATTTTTTGGCAGGCCCCTCATCTGATGACCAAAGGCAAGAGATCATGGGGGGCAGAACATTGATTTTTCTTTCCTTCTGAAGTTGCACGTCTGTCATGGAGAAACATTGTACGTGGTGGCTTTTGATTGGTGGATACAATGGTCAAGTTATCGGTTGTAGTGTCGGTGGAAGAACATAGCTTTTCGGTAATTAAACTGTCATTAACAAAATCTTTAATATTTCTTTTTTCAATTTCGTTTGTTGATGTGTCAACTAAGTTTTTTGGTTCTTTTATCTTTGGTAAAATAGCCAAATTGGTATATTTTTTCGAGGCTTAGTAACATATTGATATATTTTCTTTTAGTTTTGTTAGATTGGTATATTTTTTTAACTCCGGCGTTATATAGGCCTTAAATTTGACCGGAGTTACTGTTCCGGCCAGTGCTGATGGGATTTTTTGCATAAAACCCCCTCATCAAATACAGTTTCTTGCTCTTAACCCCCTCCCTCCTCCTCCTCCTCCTCCTCCTCTTCAACCTTCCACTCTCCCTCCTCCTCCTTATCCTCTCCCTCCTCCTCCCTCCTCATCCCTCTTCCCGATCCCCTCCATCTTCTCCTCCCCCTCCCTCCTCTCCTCCTCCTCCTCCTTCGGCCCTCTCCACCTCCGCCCATTCTCTGTCGCCACCTCCCTCTCTCTCTCTCATCCCCTCCCTCCAAATCCCTCCGCCTCTCCCCTTTCAAATTATCAAACTTGATTTTTCATGATCCCTAGTTGAATTGAAGAAGCAGGGCTCGTGTTGCATGCAATTGACCAACAAGACTGATCAATATGTGGCCTTCAAGGTAACTAATTTATGTGTTTTACTTTGTATTCTCCTCAAATGTTACTCTCTTAGCAGTGCCTCTTTTAAAGAAAATAAATGTTTAATGTCTATTTCCAATGGCCTATTGGCAATGCTTCACGTTTCTTGCTTCGGTTTGTAGGTTAAGACCACCAATCCTAAGAAATATTGTGTACGACCTAATGCGGGAATTGTTCTCCCTGGGTCAACATGCAATGTCACTGGTATATGTCTTCTTATTTGTTTCGTGTAGTTTCAAGTCTTTGGTATGCTTTTAACATGCAATAGTCTATATGTCATATTCGCATCCTTTAACATGTAATAATTCTTGCTTTAGCAATACTTTGTGATGGGATTGTTAGAGTTTCATTGTTAGTTAGTAATCCCTTGAATGAATATGCATTATTCTTGTTGTTTTATGTTTAGTTACAATGCAAGCTCAAAAGGAGTCTCCACTGGACATGCGATGTAAAGACAAATTCGTCCTTCAAAGTGTTGTGGCTGAGCATGGTGCGATGTCGAAGGACATAACCCCTAAAATGGTACACTCTTTGTTGATACCTTTTGACTAATAATTATTTTTCATTTCATTTATTTGGAACTTGTATGGTTATTGTTGAATGCTTTGCGTTTTAGTTCAATGAGAAGTCCTCAGAGGTGATTTGTTCTTTTCTCATCATTTAGTATATGGAACATCCTGTGATGCAAATGAATTTGCCTTTGCTAATTGATTGTAAGACAAATAAAAGAGAACCAATGTCATCTAGTATCATGAAAGCTCCAAGACATCAACAAGGATAATGCCATTGATGTTGTTTGTTTGAGATAGATGGTTTGTTATATTCGCAAGCCCTTCAATTCCACATTTTCAACTATACGTGTTATCTATAATGCACTTCATGTAACTTTCTGATAAATTTCAAAGGGTGTTATATTTGTTCTCTGTTTATTGAATTTGCACTTTCTTGTGTTCTGTAAATGATGTCAACATGACCACCATGACATGATAAATTCTTTATATGGTACGGCATGGACACTTTGTCATGGTTATGCATAATACATGTGATAAGTTTGGTGCATGCATGGGTCCATGCATAATGCACATCAAATCATGATCAAGGACATGAATCTCTTAAGTAGAAGGGAAAAATAAAATCAAAACCTTATCTATCTAAATTCATATTGCTAATCGGTTATCTGAGTCAAAGCAAAAAAAGAAGAGAAAAAGAAAGAAAGAAAGAAAGAAAGTCCTGACCAATACTTCAACATGAATGTTGTTAGCCTCATGTTGCTTCAGATTAGTGGGAGGGGAGGAGAGAGAGGGAGGCGGCAGTAGAGAATGGGCGGAGAGGCGAAGGGATTTGGAGGGAGGGGAGGAGAGAGAGGGAGGTCACAGCAAAGAATGGGCGGAGGTGGAGAGGGCCGAAGGAGGAGGAGGAGGAGAGGAGGGAGGGGGAGGAGAAGATGGAGGGGATCGAGAAGAGGGATGAGGAGGGAGGAGGAGGGAGATGATGAGGAGGAGGAGGAGGGAGAGGGGGAGGTTGATGAGGATGAGGAGGAGGAGGGAGGGGGGTTAGGAGCAGGAAACTATATTTGATGAGAGAGTTTTATGCAAAAAATCCTATTAGCACTGGCCGAAACAGTAACTCCGATCAAATATAAGGCCTATATGGCGCCGGAGTTGAAAAAATATACTAATCTGACAAAGCTAAAAGAAAATATACTAATATGTCATCAAACCTCGAAAAATATACCAATCTGGTCATTTTGCCTTTTATCTTTTCTTATATC